GAAGGTAATACAGAGATTTCACATCTATAGTTAATGGAATTAACAGTTGCACTTTGGTCTAAAATCACATGAAAACTTTCTAGTTATATTTCAACAATAAGGGAAAAAATGATATGGCCTCAAACCAGGGGAGGTGAAATGAATTTTGTCCATTTATATTATTGTCCCTTAAATTCAAAGTTTAGTAACCTAAAACTATAGTCCAAATTGTTCGACATTACACTACAGGAAAAAAGAGTTTAGACGGCGTTTTATTCACGACGCATTTTTAAACGTCACTATTTTTAATATTTAACGACGTTTTATAAAACGTCGCATATTCATTTAATAAAACGACACCGTTTTATAATAAGAGGCGTTTAAAAAAGCTTGGTTCGGTGGATTCGAGGATTATGAAGAGGGTGAGAGATGAGTTTGGGGTTGTTGGTGGAGGAGGAGGAGGAGGGTTTGTGTGTTTGGGTGGGTTTAGGAATGTTAGGGGAGTTTATGACTGGAATGGATTGAAACTGGAGGTCGATCAGACAATGTATGATTTTGGTACTTGTTATGAGACCGAATGCGAGAGTGCAGACCCCGACAAGGTCAAGAATTTGATTGAGGAGTTTCTCAAGGATAATGGGATTCATTATTCTTACTCAGAGGCTTCAAAGTTTGCAATTTTCCGATCCGGGAAGTTGCCACAGTAAGTCAATTCTAAGGCTTTTTTTTTTTTTTTTTTTTAATGTTTGTTTTTGTTTGAATCAGAGCTTTATCACAATTTATCATCATTGGATGTATTTATGGGTATTTTGGGTTCTCTCTCTTGTATGTTAGTTGGAATTTGTGGGATTGGTTCTGTCTACATAAAGGTATGGAAAGTTCAGCTATTTAGGCCCTTCTTAACATTAGATAGCAACATCCTGAATAACACATTTCAATTTGCAAACAATATAATGGATCTTTTGGATTATTTTTGTGTATTCACTTGTCTGAATAAAAGCTTTAGATCTGCCAGATTGGCGATATTATGGGTCTTTTGGGTTATTTAGTTGTTGGTTATGTCCATATTTTGTATAGACAGTTAATTTTTTGGCTCCCTCACGTATTGGAAAACAATATAGGCATCTAGATCACGACTGAAACTAAACTTGAGAATGGCTTTGTCATCATATCGTGGTTGAAAGATGGTTAGGAGTACGGAGTGTACCATTTGAATTTAGAAGATTTTGTCGAATAAATAGCTAGTCAAGTTCTCCTTTTAGAGTAGGCTTGGTCATTCGGATGGTTGTTGAAACGTAGTTGACTCTGCGTCCTTGATGGTTGTTGAAACGTAGTTGACTATGCGTCCTTGTTCTGTCAAATGCATAAGAATTCACTTGTTATAGAAAAATTGGTAATAGACAGGTTTTGTGGCTCATCCTGTTTCTCAAGTTTTCCAAGAACTTCACCATTCTTTTTCCTTATGAACTCTGCAAAAATTTTAAATCCTTTATTTATTTACATTTTTTTTTGGTAGGTAAGTTACCAGATGTTACAATGAAGTTCATTACATGCCTAAAATGCAATACACCCTTCAAAAAAAAGAAACACTCCATAATTTACTTAATAGATTTAAATAAGTCCAGAGTTAGGCTAAATCAGTACAACATTGAATAAATAAATTTTAAATAAAGTTCTAATCAACACTACTAGGACAAGAAAACCAGCCCATAGTTAGGGGTGTAATTTTAGCCGGCCGGCTCATCCGGACTCGGGCCGGGCCGGGCCATGTCGGGCCCTGCGGGCTCCTGCCAAAAAATCAGTTCATAGTTTTCACCCAAATGCAGCCATGGTTTAAATCCACCTATGGGTTTTGGAACAAACCCAGTATGGATTTAAACAAACCAGCAACAACACTGCAGTAGCTCTTTAGCAATTTAGCAGCAGCACCGGCAGGCACACATGAAGATCGGTTAGCCAAAACCCTGGCTGTGCTGGAATAAAAATAACATCTCCGACATATTTATTTACATTTACATAGCTGCTGCTAGTGTATTTTTTTTTTTTTTTTTTTTTCCAATCAAAGGGGCATACATTCCCTTACCAAGCAATGCATTTAGGGCATGTTTGATTGGAAGGATTAAAGCATAGGATTGGGATTATTAATCCGTGGGCCCAATCATCCTATGTTTGTTTTGACATTTGGGTTTAGGATTATTAATCCAATGGATAATTAATCCAACAAATTTGTAGGATTATTAGTAATGGGGTAGGGGTGGGATAACTAATACCACACTAATTTAATAAGATTATTAGTACCTCACTATTAGTGTTGTGAATCAAACATGACCTTAAGGACTAGTTTGAGCTGCAGATACTCTCTCCTGATTTAACATTTGTTGTAGATAATAGAGTTGATGCACATGAAGCATTTAGCACGATAATTAGAATTGTTATTTTGTCTCTTAACTCTAAATTCTTTATAGTTTGTGGAGGTGACTAAACTATTAGAACTTAGATGGTTGCCTAAGCCCACAAGGATATTTTTTTTAAAAAAATTATTGTCGAAGGCCCAACATTTCAAAGGCTTAATTAGATATGGTCTCATTTTGAAATTTAGTTTAAGGCTTCCAAAAACCTTGGGTTGCTACTGTGATTCAATTATTAAGCCACTTAGACTGTTGTTTGAGGCTCTCATGGAACTATATCCCACCCCAACGGTTAGATTTTTAAAATGTATAAATGTCTTTAACGGCGTTTTCAAAACGTCGCTAAATGTCATAGTGACGTCACGTCCAATTAGGTAGGACTTTTGGCGGCGTTTTTAAAAACGCCGCCTATATCAATATAACGACGTTTTTCAAACGCCATAAAGCTATAGCGACGGCCGCGTCGTCGGCGTTTGGTACTAAACGTCACAAAAAGAATTGGCGACATTTTTAATACTTATAGCGGCGTTTTTAAAACGCCGCTAAAAGTCGATTTTCCAGCAGTGTTAAGGGTGTTTTTTAAAATAAGCTTTAAAGGATAATTTATTGATATTGTTCAACATCAAACTTGAATTAGGCTTAGTTGAAGGTTCACAACGGTTTATTTTTAATAATAGTACAGATAAATTATGCCACCAAATTATGTGTTTGTTTTAATAATAATCCAGATAAATCTTCAAATATTAACTTAGCAGTTGTAAATTTATATTGCCGTTAAATAATATCATAACCATTTTTAATTTGTATTATGGCATATGAATAAAGAATCAAAAGAGGTAAACAGTAGATTTTTCTTTAAACTGATAAAAATTTAAGTTAAACTTTAGATTTCAGATAGAGTTTTAATAGGTAAGATAATTTTTTTAATTTAGTTGTATCACCTTCGATTTTGAAAAATCAACCATTTGAATAGGTTTTTTTAAAAAAAATAAAAAATAAATAAATAAGTTGTAGCTGATACTTTCTACTCCTAAATTTTGAAGTTTAAAAGACCATGTAAATATAAATTAAAAAATAATAATCTAACAAAAGTTGAATATGTACCAACATGTTTTTTTTTTTTTTTTATGGTTTTTTGTTTTCTTTGGCTCCTTGTAGTCAATTTTCTTTTTTTTCTTTAAAAAAAAAAACGAAAAAAAAAGACCATTCAATGATTTCAAATCTCACAAATAAATTTATAATTTTATATAATTTGTAATGGGCACCCATTTTCACTACTACATTCTTTATAAAAATATGTGACATAAGTATTATGGGTTTCGACCCCGCTACGTAGCTCGAAAGAGTTTGGCTCGACACCAAAATGACGTCATTTTGGTGTCTTTTTTTTTTTTCCCTATGTTTTTGTTGCAAAAGGAAGAAGAAGAAGAAGGGTAGAGGAGAAGAGAAGGAGAAGAGAAGGAAGGAGGAGGATTGGAGGGGGCATAATCACAGGGGGAAGAGGAGGCGGAGGTGGGGCCGAAGGCGACGGCGGTGGTGCTGCGACGATCTCTGGTGCTGTGACGATCGGCGGCGGCGAGGCGACGGCGGTGGTGCTGCGACGATCTCCTCTCCTCCTCTCTCTTTCTCCTCTCTCCTCCTCTTTCTCTTCTCCTCTCTTCTTCCTCTCTTCTCTCCCTCTTTCTCCTCTGTCTCTGTCTTCGAATTCGAATTCAAGCCAAAATCGGGCCACTTTTTTCGAGCTACCAGTCATTTTTGTATGGAATTTTTATTTTAAAGTTGCTCATAGGCAATTTTCAGATTCCAGGCCACTTTTTTCGAGCTACCAGTCATTTTCGTATGGGTTTTTTATTTTAAAGTTGCTCATAGGCAATTTTCAGATTCCAGTGCACTGCTCAACGTCTTTCACTTTTTTGAAAATTTAAAAATTCAGGAACTTTTGATTTAGATATCCATTTTAAATAAGATTTTTAATTTTAGATTCTTCTCTTCGAGATCTATGATGAATATAAAATTCTAGGGGCAAAAAAATTGACAAAATTTCATTGAGTTAGCTATCTTCGGTTAGTAAAATTTTTGAAATTTCTCTAAGAGAAAATAAGCAATTTTAAAATTTATCTAAAAGGAAATAAGCAATTTTGAAATTTATGTGAGAGGAAATAAACAATTCTAAAATTTCTCTAAGCAATTTTGAAATTTTTCTGAGAGAAAATAAGCAATTTAAAATTTCTTTGAACAATTTTGAATGAGGAGCAACAATAGAACCAAAAAAAAAAAAAAAAAAAGGGAAGCAAAAATGATTTAAACAAGTACATTCAAAACAATGAGAGATCTTACCTAATACTTTCTTATCATAATCTTTAAGCTTCTACGTAAAAGGTGAGAGGGGTTAATGCCTGATTTTCTCAAGTATTAAACAATCATTGTAAACTTTGATAGCTATTAATCTTATGTAGAGGTGGCATTTGGCGAAGAGAACAATTTCTCATCAACAGAGCTAAAGCTGACTATGGGGAAAAAATTAATAAAAAAAATATTCCTCACAACACCCATTAATCTGAGAGCACAATTCCCTTGAACAAATCTTCTTCTTCTTTTTTTTTTTTTTTTTTTTCTGAGAGGAGAATGAGCAAAATATTTCAATGGCTATTGATTTTAATTTATTGTAGGAAACATGCATAGTCAAGAACCAACCAAAACCAAACAAACAAAAAATTCTTTTTTTTGTTTTTCTTTACATCTACTAGGTCACACTTTATCCGTCAAATTTGAGAAAACAAAATGAAATTATTTGCAACCATTTTTTGTTTCACCCTATGATCATTACAAATAAATGATGATATGTATATGTTGTTTTAACCGACTAAGAAATCAAACATAAAAAAAATACTAAAAGAAAGTAGTCTGTGAGTGTGGGCTCTATACTATACAAAAGTTCATATTTAAACCACTCATTACTTTTTTTAATCTTTTTATATTCTTTAGTCCCTAACATCATGACATTTCTAATCTTATGGGTTGAATTGCATAACCTTTGGTGCAAACCTCATCAACCTACCCAATGCAGTAGGTGTGACTTTCCTTGCAAATAAGAAACAAACATTGGTGATATTCCCATTGTACTCACATTTCCTTCACCTTTTGCTCCATGAACTTGATATGTAATGCATCTAGATAGGGTTGACCTGCCCTAATGGCACTTCTTTTTTTATTAGCGAAAATGGAAATTTTATTGATAAAACTCAATATACAAAGCCTCCGTTTGGGAAGTGAAGGCTTTTTGATTTTTTTTTTTACTATTTTAGCCTGGGGCTAAAAATTTGGTTTGAGAAGGACTTTTGACTTTTTTGTAAGAAAAAGAATGTAATGATTATGAGTTGAATGTGATGTTTTGTCTTATTAAATTAAAACACCTATTTTATTTTTTGTGACTAAAATTGCTAAAAAAGCCCCAACCAAGGCTTCCCAAACAAAGCCAAAGAATACTAAAATAAATATCATTAAAAGAAAAATAAGTAGAAGTATCAACGCAAAACTAATCTATCGAAAAGCAAGTGCAATCATCTATCAGCACTACACCAAAAATTGATGAGAAATCAGTACAAACAAAAATGCAAAATCCCAACAACCAAAATTAAGATTAACCAACGCAAACAAAAACAATCACAGCCGGTGGGGTTTACAAAAGAACTACAAAACAAACACTGCCCTAATGGCACTTAAGGCATTATGAAATTCCAAACATGCGTTAGTTAATTGAGATTAAATTTATAAATTTAGGTAAAAATTCTTAACATATAACATGTTGCTTTTATTATTTTTGTAAAATGTTAATTTTATCTCCAACTTTATGGGATTAGATGATACATGATTCAGAGAGGAGAACAAATCGTTGGTTGGAAAAGTCAAGAAGAGCATTGGCTAGTAAGCGACGCTCTGCTTCCACCATGCTAACACTTCCCCATTGCACTTTCTGCATTATACATGAGAATTCTATAAGATGTAATATGTATAGACTATATAGTCAAGCACATGAGTGATGAATTTATATGCCAACGTTATTACCAACACACCCTCCTGCTGCCTATATAAATATAAATAAAGAGTAAAATATATCATTGTTATTTTTTTAACATTATTTGATCTTTAATGAATATCCATTAAAAGATTATTAGCATGACCCTTTTAAAAATGTAAGACACCAAAATAAATTTAGGTTGTGTCTATTATCAAATAAAACAAATGAAAGGCATTTCTAGAAATTTTTAAGCCTCAAAGAACTTAGGGTTCTCTCTAATAGCATTACACCATCTGTATAGACATAATTGTTAGTATTAAATTTGTACCTTACCTTAACGAATTATAAAAATATTTTTTTTTATCCGTATCTTATTTTAAGTGTTGTCATATTATTGTACCATAGTGAATTCGTTATGAGGAGGATAGTGTGCATCCTAATAAATGTGGATTTGGAGCGGAGGTATTCTAGTATTTCCATACTTGTAACAAGTTGTCATAATTTTTATGTGTTTATAATTGAAGGGAGGCAGCTATCTCTGCAATCTTTTTGTAACATTTTTTATCATAGTAAAAATCATAACAGTCATAGACATAATTATAATTTTGGATAAATTACATAAATTTTGGTGTTTGTCATATGTGTGTAATTTGTTTTTCTTGTATGTTTGTTTTTTTTTATATTTCGTGTTTCACCAATCTTAATTAGATGTTACAGATTTCTAACACTTGTACTGGTATCAGTACTTGTGTCCATGCTTCATTGGCACTTTTCGTCATTTTGATCTCCAACATATCAATTGTGTTAATTTTATCCTCAAAGTATTAAATGTATGTTAAAGTGGTCATCATGCCTCGGCCTACCATTATTCATTGTTAGAATCTTGAGTATTTTATAATTAAAAATTGCATCTTAAAAAAAAAAAAAGAAGAGTTTAATTACACCTTTACTCAGCATAGGAACCTTGGATCATTTTTGTAAGTAATATTTCAATTGTGTCAATTTATCAAAAGATAATTTTTTTAACAGAATCTAAGTGTATTTTTTAAAAAATGCTCCTAACTTTGACAATGAATGCTGATGGTGTCAAACATGGAGACCATTGTAAGGAGTCGTTTCGCATACAGATAAAAAAGTTTCATATATATATTTTTTAATTTGTTGTCTTTAATATTTTTTTAAAAACCCTCAATATTAGTTGTTAATATCATAAATAATAGTAAAACCATATATAGGAAATTGAATGTTACCATAGATTAAGTTTGCGAAACGTAACGTGACACCTACATAAACATAACATAACGTAATGTGGCCATATTAGATGAGACATTACATAAACGTAATGTAACGTGACACCTACATAAATGTAACGTAACGTGACACTTACATAGACGTAACGTAACGTAACATCTACATAAATACGTTACGTTTTGCAAACTTACTAAGTTTTTTATTTTTTAAACTAAATGTGAAAATGTTACTTGTTCATTTATTTTGAAATTCACATTTATATAGATATGATTTATGGTAACATTCAATTTCTTATATATGATTTTGCCATTATATTGTATAATAGTATATTAATACCATTTATTTATAACTCATAGGATCTTGTGAAATACATTCCTATCTAAATAGGACTTGAAATTCTATAAGAAATTACACAGGACTTAACATAGTATAAGTGTCTGAAATAACACTTATAAATAAGTCTCCAAAAAAAAAAAAATCTATATTCTAGTATTAACTTTAAATTTATATTACATATTTACTTTTAGCATAAAATTTTAGATAAATTTTTCATGTTATGTAAACCATATATGCAATTATATAATGAAAGGTCAAAAAGGGCCAACCCACTCAAATACGATGACGTGTTGAATTTCGGTATCCAGTTGCAATTTCATTGTCAGGAATGTTACATGTACCAATTAATATACACACTAGTATATTAACTAATATTATGCTATTATGATTAATCCCACCTATTATACAAATTATAAATATTTAAAATTTCTAAAATTATACCACATTATCTATTAATATACTAATTAGTACATTAATTAATAGCATTATTCTTTCATCACTTGACACAAGTTATTAAGAAAATAATTTTCTGTGGGTAGGCTTTTTTATTTGTTAATTGTTCCCTCAATTTTTTAGTTTTCCCATTATTGCAGTCGTGAAAATAATTTTCTGTGAGTAGACTTTTTTGTCTGTTGATTGTTGTTCCATCAATTGTTTAGTTTTCTCATTATTTATTGCAGTCTTGAAAATAATTTTCTATGAGTAGACATTTTTATTTGTTAATTGTTGTTCCATCAATTTTTTAATTTTCCCATTATTGCAGTCTTAATAGTGACCAGTTATGAAGCATTCCCGAGTAAACTTTTACAAATGGTAATTGTCACGTAGTTAATGGAAGCATGTGATGTATCGGTAAACATGGTAGATCTGTTCAAAGAGTTAGAATCTTATAGAATCAGGATTGTCTCTAATGGTTCAATCGAATGCCGTGTAATTATCAAGGGATCAAGTCAGAACATTTATTTTGTAAAGTCTTTTGAGAAGATTATTGGTTAAAAAAAATTATCAGATAATTGTAATCACATACTATATCACATTTATCTTAAAAATAATGAATGATTTGTATGGGAATATATTTTCTGAGTATCAACACGTGGCAAGGTGACGCCGACGTGTCAGCCGAGGTGTCACGTGTCTTGGTCGTGACGCCGAGGTTATCTCCGAAGATATCGGAATCTGAAATAAGCGGATAAAGGACAAGAATCCTAAAATAAAGAGGGAACTCAACCTAGATATGGACAAGAATCCTAGAATAAGACAAGACTTCAATTTGTATTAAAATAAGACTCTTAGAGAGTTTATCCTAATCCCACTGGGAGTCCCAAATTGGCAGTAATCCTAATGTTTGTTTGGGTGGACATGAGCTTGGGATTGGACTAATAGTCCAATAAAATTATTAATCCGATATTTGGTTAAACAATTAAAGTACGGACTAATTATTTGAAACTTGACTATTAGTTAAGATAGGATACATAATCCAACGAATTCGTAGTCCTAGGACTATTAGTCATGGGAATGCTAATCCAGTCCGCCCAAACAAACATGACCTTAGAGTCAGGCTCCTATTGGGATTAGGATTGTATTGGCTATAAAAGAGAGGCACCCTAATGGGTCTAAGGTATGCTTTCGATACTCAAACTTGTGAGTTTAGCACTTGATTTATCTTTGAGAGATATACTAACTTGATCGTCGGAGTGCCTCCGGGTGGACGAACCACCGCCGGAATCTTCTCTTTCTGTTGCAGGTCAGCCAAGTGCCATCTATTCTGCCGGTGCTCTCTAGCTGATTACTAAGCGAGCAGTGTGGTCAGAAAATCACCCACACAATTTGTTTTTAAAATTATATTTATTTCCTCCCCCCTTTTTATCCAAGTGGACTGCTAATCTCTCAAATAGCATGGGGACTCACAATCTAATCCCATAAAATTGGAGATAAAATTCTCATTTTCCAAAAATAATAAAAGCAACATGTTATATGTTAAGAATTTTTAACTAATTTATAAATTTAATCTCAATTAACTAACGCATGTTTGGAATTTGATAATGCCTTAAGTGCCATTAGCGCAGTGTTTGTTTTGTAGTTCTTTTGTAAACCCCACCGGCTGTGATTGTTTTTGTTTGCGTTGGTTAATCTTTATGAAAAATGTTTGGGGGCCCTAATTATGTGGCTCAAATGGCCAAAACGACGTCGTTTTGGCCATTTTGATGTTGTTTTGTACTCAAAACGACGTCGTTTTGGCCATTTGAGCCACAGAATTTGGGCCCTCTACCATTGTTCAATCTTTATTTAGGTTGTTGGGATTTTGCATTTTTGTTTGTACTGATTTCTCGTCAATTTTTGGTGTAGCGCTGATAGATGATTGCACTTTCTTTTCGATAGATTAGTTTTTCGTTGATACTTTTACTTATTTTTCTTTTATTGATATTTATTTCAGTATTCTTTGGCTTTGTTTGGGAAGCCTTGGTTGGGATTTTTTTAACTATTTTAGTCACAAAAAATAAAATAAATTTTTAGTTTAATAAGACAAAATATCACATTTAATTTATAATCATTATATTCTTTCTATTACAAAAAAGTTAATAATAAAAAAAAATTAAAAAACCAACTCACTTTCCAAACGGAGGCTTTGTATATTGAGTTTTATCAATAAAATTTCCATTTTCGCTAATAAAAAAAGAAGAAGTGCCATTAGGGCAGTTCAGCCCTATTTAGATGCATTATATATCAAGTTCATGGAGTAAAAGGTGAAGGTGAAATCATATTTTCTTACATGTTATACTGTGTTTGTTTTGAAAGAAAATTATATTCAAGAGTAATGAAATATTTTTTCCTCCGATAATCTTCCCTAGCGTCAACCTAGCTTTCATCATCTATATTTTTGAAATTAAAACATCAATGAAAGCCCCAAATAATGAATAAACAAGCAAATAATTTTTTTTAATAATCCACCTATATAAAATTAAAGTAAAAGAGAGAGAAAAAAAAAGCACAAGTTTAATATGAAAAATTAGACTAAAAAAACTGACCTTACTGGGAATTCTCCGGCCATGGAAAACTGAATTTTCAGGCTCGGATTGGTTGAAAGATGGATCGGAGTGCACGTAAATTGAGTAGAATCCTTCATGGCCATTGAAGAACAACTCCCAAAGAGGCGCTAACAAAACTGGCCCTCTTGTCAAGAACATGAAGGCAACCTTTGGAACCCTTTTGAATGGGAATTTACGAATTTTGGGAGTCATCGAGGCCCTCCATAGCAATTCTTCGTCGCTCATATCGTGCGTGACATGTGTGGGCTTTTGATATTCTGATGGTCTAATATTCGTTTTGGAAGTTTTGGTGGCTGATGGAGGAGGAGTAGGTGGTGGTGGTTGGGTAGCTGGTGGTGGTGGAAGAATTAATGGTGAATGAGAGATAGAGAAGTGGGTGATTAGTAGATTCAGTGACAAGTCCTTGAGATAGCAGCTTAGTAAAATCCCAGAGGTTATGCCACAGGCAAAGAAGATGAAATAAGAAAGGAGATTAGCAGCCGAGGCTGGTGGTTTTTGGTGTTGATTCTTCTTCATTGTTTAGAGAGAGAGAGAGAGAGATTAGATGATGTTCTTAATTATCACAATATAATGATTAATTCTACAATAAAATATTATGGGATTCCTACCTACAATAAACGACCGCATTATTTTTATTAAAATTGTTGTTACTAATCTAATTTAATGTTATAAAATAAAATTTTAAAATAAAATTTGTGTTAAGATATATTGCTATTCAAGTTCAAAAATTAAATTCACAAAATAGGCCTAGAAAGTGAGTTTATATATCATTTTCCTACGTATAAATACGTAAAAGGAGTCTAATATTGTAAATATATAGCTAAAATTAGTTGGGCAAAAAGTCTCCTAAGATTTAGTAAAAATGAAGTAAGTCTCACAAATTTGACATAATTATATTAAATTCCCTTAAAGTTTTAATTTATATAATACTTAGGCCTCATTTGGCTAGTTAACATTTTAGCTAAAAAGCTAAAAAGCCTATAACATATACCAAAAAGTCAAAGATTCTCTTTTCTCTCTACTTTTTTTTGCACATCTTTTCGTAAAAAGTCAAAAAGTCACTCTAAACATACTAGTTTTTTTTATCTCATATTTTAACTAAAAAGTCAAAAAGTTACTAAAATAGCATATTCTCAAATGAGACCTAACCTCATTTTTATCAGAATTCGTTAATAATATGAATAAAAAAATGGTATTGTCATCTTATTTACATTGAAATGTACATTTTACATTGTGTATCATTATGTCTTTATACCATCTATATTAATTTTAATCTCTTTAATCTTACTAAAAAAGAGGTCTATCTAATTATATTAAAATTATGAAATTTATATATTTATTTTAAATTTCAAGGGAGGCCAGTGTAATTTACCTAATTTAGTTTCAATCAACATTTTTATTCTTTTGAGGTGGTAAGTTTTGAAAATGTGAACCAAGCCTCCTTTGACCTAATAGTATGTTGTACCATTTTGTAATGTGAGATCAAGGGTTCAATTTTTATATAAATGAGTTTGATATCATTTATAGTGTTTATTTATTTCCAAATTTGAGCTAGTGGTGATTACTAGGTTTGGTGACGGTGGAACTTTTAAACTTTAGTTGTCTGGTGTTCTGAAAGTTTGTCTAATTAGTAATTTTAAGATTTTAATGTTAATCGAGATATATGTAAATTAACCAAAACTTGATTATAAAAAATAAATGAAATGATCCATCAAACTCGCAAGGGGTCTGGGCGAGGTTGCTACAAAATGGACCGAGTCAATTTTTTTGTTCTAGGGTGGGTTGACTTTGACCCATTAGGTGGGTGATTTGGTCAAGAACGAACCCAGGCCTATAATTGTAGCAGCCCAAGGGTGAAGAACCCACTCAATTATTTTGGGAAACTTACCAATAAGTCTTATATATAAAGTTCAAAATTTATCTAATTCCAAATTAAAATATTTGTACCAATTAGTTTTATATATTTTTAATTCCTATCAAAAAATCTTTTTTTTCCTTTTTTAATTTACAGACGCTGTTTTATCCCGCCAGCGTTTGACTTCCAGCAGACGATCACCAGAAACTTACCGGAATGTTCAACATCTTCGGGAAGTTGCCGGAGGATTGTCGGAAGTTCATCGGAGTGTTCTAAACATCAATGGAAGTAGCCGGAATGTCCAGAATGTTCGCTAGACGTTAAGAAAATTATTGGAGACTCACTGGAATGTCCAGAATATTCTTGGAAAAAAAATAAATAGAGAAATTAGAGCGAAAAATCATAGCAAAATGTGCTAAATATTGATAAACCAAAAGAAAAAAATGTAACGACAAAAACCAGCAACAATGGGAAAAAACATGTGTTATTTTTAAATTTTTGTAGGATTTAAGCACATAATCTCCAATATTGATCAAATTGAAAAGCAAGTTTTGAAACTGTAAAGCAAAGATTTATCAAGTATTTATCCTTATTAATCAAACTGAAAAATATGTTATGAAATTGCAAAATTTTGCAGTTTGCAGTTTTAAACCATGATTCATTCCAGCACCAAAAAAAAAATTGAAACTGCAAAATTTTATAGTTTTCACTGCTTGTAACTAAAACTTGAAAACAACTTGTTCAGAATTTGAAAATTTTCTCCATTAAAACAGAAAAAGAAAAGTGTATTGTGACACCCTGAACGTTTAATTAAATACCACATAAATATTTATAGTTATATATATAATTGTGGGTGCATGTGATAAATAATAATAAATACAAAATTTAATTTGGCATTGGGTTACCAAATATGTGATTAATTAGGGATTATTATTTGGGGCCAAATTAACAAAAATATGGAATTATAATACTAGTTGGGTCAAATTAGAGTTAAAGATATTAAATAAATAAATAGGTTAAATAAATAAATAATAATAACAATAATAATAAAATAAATATAGGGAATAAGAATTATAATAATGGCATTTATAAAATAAATAAGTTATATATGCTATGTAAATTAATTTTTCATTATGGTTATCAAATATATGATAGGAAAATTTATTAGGATAAATTAAGTACTAGATTTATTTGGGGTATATTAGCTACCCAGATTTATCAAATAAAGCAAATCAAGTATCATTAATTAGCAAGATTACAAATTTGCTAAAATAAAGAAATGGATATTATACTTTGAGTTACTATAATATATTTTACATATATTTTGACTTACCATAATTTATTTATACAAGTTATATTTTATAAGTTATATTAATTCAAGTTAAGTTTTAGAAATATTTCACTTACGTGGATTAATTTCTAAACTCTATTTGTTTAAATGAAACCCATTGATATGTTTGTTTAAATTTTAAAGATTATTTGACTATAACCTTATAAACAATTATGTTTTGTAAGTACCACCACGGGAGTCCCACGCCTTGGGGAACTTAAATAACCATTGGCCTCTGTTTGGCCACTTTGCGGTCCTCCGTTTGTCATGGATCCATTGACCTCTATTCTGATTATCACTTTTGTGACCTCTGTTCTGTTCTGTTCTGTTCTGTACCATGTTTATGATTATTTATTTTCATAATTTATGTATTTCAGTTTCTGCCACTTAAATGATTTATTTACCAAATTGAGTTATGTAAATATTTTGACTTAACTAACTATTCATAGTTATTTTGTATTCCCTATACTCTTGGCATAATATTTCTCACTCTGCTGTGTGCTTATAGCTGTTACCCTTTCAGATGACGAGATGTAGGGGAAACCCATAACCCCACAAAATGGAACCCGCACATGGATTGCTGTTGAACCACTTTTTTTTTCTTTCTTTTTTTTTTAGTTTTGCTTCCTTTTTGTTCTACTCGGGGCCGGTCACTGAATAATAAAATAATTAAAGCCCTATAGATGTGTTTTCGTTTTCTTAAATAGTAAAATGAAGTAAATTTTATGTTTACTTATTTTTATTTCTGCTTGCGCAGTTTAATTTGCTACAAATAAAACAAGTTAGTAAGTTGCGATTCTAACCCTAAGCCCCTGGGTTGGGTCGTGATAAAGATGGTATCAGAGCAACGGTTCAAAAAAAAAAAGAAAAACTATTTTAATTTGATCAGGAAGTTTAAAAAGCTATAAATAAAAATATATAGCTAAGAAAATATAGTAAAATAAAAATAAAATAAAATAAAATAATAATAAATATTTACCTGTGACGTTAGTTTTTTTGTGTAAAATCTTACGTTTATTCTGGTGTTGTAGGAATGTCAGAGATTTATCTTGATGATGCATTTTGGGATGAGCTCCAGGCCATCAATTTAGATGAAATCTTAGCCGAGCACCCCGCTCCTGCCCCCACCTCACCTGAAGGTTGGGAGACTTAGAGGACATAGTCAGGGGACTGCACCCAGGCCTTGCCTGGTTGATGGGTCGACCAGTTTATATCCAGGCTGATCCCACCGAATGTCAGAGATTAATCTTGATGATGTGTTTTGGGATGAGCTCCAAGCCATTAATTTAGATGAAATTTTAGCCGAGCACCCTGCCCTTGCCTCACTTGAGGGTTGGGGAGATTCAGAAGACATAATCAAAGGACTGCACCCAGGCCTTACCCAGTTGATGGGTCAACCAGTTTATATCCAGGCTGACTCTACCGATATCCCACATTTACTATGGAGGCACAGCCTTGTCGATACACGCAGACGTTTTCTTAGACCATCTCGTGTCTTTGGCGTTGCCCCGGGACATGACCGCCCGCACTATGTCATAGGCCTGCTACCCCCAGATTTTGTGGCCAGAAGGGGGAACGTGTACCCTGAGGACTATATTTTCACCGCAGTCTCTAACCCACTAGAGATAATTAATATTCAAAATGTTGACTTTAATAATGACCTGTCATATATTGAGACACCCGACTGGATTGTCGACCGAGCATTTTTGGGATACATACAGTCCATCCCTATTTTCACAGTCCAAGTAGTGTGGATGTGTTTTTGTGTAGTCTCGTTGGGGTGGGAATTTGATCTTTTTATGCAGCACTATTTCCCATGGTTTTTCAGCCCATTTGACCCACCACTCTAGTTTTGGGTAGAAGAAAATCTTTTTGTATACTGACCATGATGTGTTCTAATCCCTTTTTTATTGCCTTTTTGTTTTTGTTTACCATAGGGATGGGACACTAACATGTTCTGACTAATGTAATATGAATTGTAAAAAAATATAAAGTTGGTATTTTATATAAATATAGATTGCGCTACACATGCTTATATATATGCTGCGTTGTAAATGTAATGCCTCGTTTACTACTTTATAGAATGGCCAATAATGGTAACGGAAGTGAGTCATCAGTCAGTGGCACTGAATCGATGGAAAGAATAATGGAAAAAGCAGTTAGTAGCTTTTTGCAAGCCTTGCAGACTAACATCAACAATGGGATGCCGGAACGGTAAGAAGAGCCGGTTACCATAAAACAGTTCTAGGATCTGAAACTCACCACATTTACTGGCGGCCCAGACCCAATGGTAGTAGATGCTTGGGTGAAAGACATAGAAAAGATTTTTCGCGCCCTACCCTACACTGAAAGACAAAAGGTAACTTTCACCAC